AAGGATAAAACGTCAATTATAATTTCAAAAAAATATTCTGTGACAGAAGATTTAAAAATGTAAGAAGAGATGATTATTATTTAATTTGTATAAAGAGAAAAAAAATTCTTTTAGAGTTAAGAAAACAAATCTGTACATAATACTTTTCACTCTTCTGTTCACAATTGATTCAAATTGTTTAAATGTGCCTAATGAGTTATTGTTTATGCAAATAACAGAGTTTTTAATTGTTTTAAATGTTGCAAATAATTTTCATATTAGTCTATGAATTGATATATATTGGGAGTGGGAAAAATCCTTAAAAAGTAAGTTCCTGGCTATAAGAGGAATGAAATAAATATATTCCTTGTTAAGAGGCTAAAAAACAAATGTTATACTAATACAGGGTTAACAGACTATGTTGATGATTGTTTTATAATTTCCTTTCTTCTGGTTTACATTCCAAAGAATAAGAGTATCTTTATTGAGAGATCATGTCACTGATCTTTATAGAATACTGGATGTTGAATTGGCATGGTTGGCTCGTTACAAAAATGACCCCAATTGAAATCAACAGTAATTAAGGAGCTCAGTTACAATATGCATTTCTATTTTGTTACATACACCGATATTTCACTAATACGTATTTGCGGTCCTCCGCATGACTTGAGAAACGAGACGTCTCACATACATACCATTTTGTCACTGTGTACGTTATCGCTCTCCAACGAGCAGTTCGACCGCGAAATCCGAGACTAGCGGCACAGGTGATGAAGGAGAGAAAAATGTAAAAGTTTGATGGCCTATAATATTGTAACAAGTAGGTATAAACGTGCGAAGCGGAAAAGCCTCCTCTTTAAAATACTATTCGGTACACATTAATCTGACTTCCTTTTCCGGAGATATTCTCGTGCGAAGACAAGCATAATTTTTTCGGCGCCGTTATTGTTGACCTTTTCGGACGTTGATCGACAGCTGATATGCGTAACTAGGCCACTGGGTCAGTAATATCAAGTGCTGCGCTTCAACTTCGGAAAACCCATATCTCCGGAATGGATTGAAATATTGGAATGAATCAAGACCGATTTTTTCGTGTTGACATCCTCTATCAATCAAAAATTCAATATCTTTGTATCGATAAATTTACGTCTTTATTAACACTTATAACTTCTTAGAGCTCAATAATATTAAAACTAGCGATTGGTTTAGACCGCTTAGTCTGCTGATAACGTTGTGTGATGCTATTAGATATTCATGGTATTTAAAGTTTGTCAGAGAAACGTCTAAAAGGTCCCAATAAAGATGATCACAGCTATTCCAATTAGGGCCATTATTATAGTGTATGTCTATTATCCAGTGTTCTATAGAGATCAGTGGATCTAGTTCTATCACTGAGTGCAACCAAATGGAAGAAATATATACATATATAATATACATAGACATATAAGCCTATAAATTGTTATTCACTTAATATTTTGTTTTTAATGAGTTTATTTTAATTGTTTCATATTTTATTCGCACGAGTGCCTTAAAATACACCTAACAGTATTTGTCGTTCGTATCGTGCTATGTATGTCATTGAACAGAATTACCTTTCAAATATTCTTGTATAATTCATGTACGTGTAACATACGCCACAGTTCTGGGAACATTAAAAATGTTACATAATTGTGTAAGTGAACATAAATAACTTTTGTTCACGAAACGTGTGCATGGCCTGTGTCTTACAGTTTTTATCGTGATTGAGAAAAAACTATTTTTGAACGAACGTGTTCTTCGCATTCCTTTATATGCGTCTAAGATAAATTCTATGCACAGCAGTCTTTGCTACGAAAAATGTTCTTATGACTGAGGTTCTGTTATACAAATATTTTATCATGTCATTGTGTGTTCCATGTGCCTAAATTTTAAGAAATTTATATGGATCAAAAATGGAAACATGCATAATACTACTTATATATGCGTTCAACACAATGCGAAAATACATACATCACTTGTATATTGTAAACAGATGGAGGAGCCCACAATTATTTTATAAATATGAATCACTATCCGATAGAAAATGAATTGTTTGATAAATTGTGTATTCTACTTTTAGTGGAATACGTAAGATCATCCAACATCTTTGAGTTTTTGGAATAGAGTAATCTCGTAAATTAAACACATCAAACATAAATATGACAATTTATTTTTTGTTCGGCATTTTTTTGGCATTCTTCGTTTAAACTTAAACTCTAACAGTTTGTTACACAAACTAAAGAATTACGACATTCATAGAAAAAACATTTAGCATATGTTTTATTTAGAATTTAGCAAAACAGATTTTTTTTAGAAAGATTCAATTATTGACTTCCACTAAAATTAATTACTATAAGATTGCACTGATCTACGTAAATGTATTCAATTAAAATAATTTATACGAAAGATAAAAAAGGAAAGAAAAGTTCTTCTATTCTCTGTTATAGCAATATTGCAATTTAGATTTTTATGTATAAGTTGAGAATCAATTATAAATAAAATTAATTGTAAATCACGTTAATAGAGGTGGATTTGTGAAAGCACTTTTGTGAAGTAATGAGAATATTTTTTCGCTAATTTATATCGAGCACTTAATTAGCGTGCGAGAAAAAATGTTATCTTCATAACATTCTAATACCGAACATTTATTTGTAAATTTTTATACTTTTAATCATAATATTGCACGCTAGTTATAAATCAGATGGTTGCACTATTTAAATGGAGCAGATCTGTATAGAAAAATAAGTGCAATTGTATATTTTTACAAAGTTTATAAATGACTATTCCATGAAAATATATTAATCTCTGAAATGGTTGTTAGACGTGCAATTTTAAATCAAGTGAATCATTTATACAGCTCTGCTAGTTTTGTACACAGTGTGCGAATAATATACGGTAAAAAAGTTTGACATAACTTTATTACAATAAGCTGTGAGTGTGTTTTAGATCTGTAGCATTTTCTTCAATTTTAATATTTTGGGGAAGAAACATTTCATTCTAAACTTTTTCAAACGAGTTTAAATATAATTAATAATAAAGTTTGACATTTTTTCATTACAATCTAAATGATATAAACTTGTAATTTTGTAAGTTCTTCAAATTCTGATTTACGAATCGCTCGAAAACCGATATCTCAAAGATTATTACAAAAGTGTTACATATCTAAGCACCGGAACCATTCCATAGTTAGAATAAGAGGCTTAATCCATAGGAATAAGGATTGTAAGAATCAATAGATTATTTTCTGTTATTGTACTTAGGCTACAGAAGTGTATGCAAANATACTTTTTAGCACGTAGCTATTTATTATTAGTATTGTTCTTCCTTCTTGTTCTTTTTAATTATAGGAAATGCGTTTTTCTAAGGTACATAAACTTTTGGGATTGACTGTATAGCCAATACATCTTTAAATATATGAAATAAGTCAAACAATTTTTTAAGTAATGTATTTTATTTAATTTCTGAAATGTAGTCAACTAAAAATAAAATCAATATTCATAGTTCGAGGTACATCGAGATACAACGCGAAAGGAAAATTATGAACCTATTTTATAATTCATACTTTAAATTTCTAACGACTTTCCAATTTTCTGCTCTCGAATAATTAATGTAGCTATTTAGTTTTAGCATTACCCTCGTATAGTTGATTATAGAGTTTAATAAGATAATGCATAATCAGATAACGCGTTATTGATCAAGCTCGAGGAAACAGAAGGCATGCGCGTTTTTCCTACGTGTAAATGGCAGGAGAATGATGTTTTACAAAGGTTTGCAAGTGTTTTTCCAATTTTTTACGATCTTGTTATATGTGTCCGGTGAGACGTTAGAACCGAAGAAAAATGAGAAACGCACTAGCCTCCGAAATAATTATCAAACAGCTATGTGCCTCGACAGTTTTAAGATTCACGAAGATAAAATTATTCGGACGCAGGAGTCTCGGGAAAGGGGTGCTAAGTTTCTGAAAGAGTATGACGTTAATTCTAGAGAAGAATGTATAAAATTTTGCTGTGATACAGAAGCTTGTGACGTATTTGTTTTTGAAGAAAAAGTACGTATTCGTGATATTTTTCTCATACAAAATAAAGAAACAAATAGCAGACTTTGATCCAGATCGTCGATATTATCTACATTCTTATAAGAATAATAAATTAAATTTGATATCGTACAGAGACCAGGAAGTTGTTACCTTTTTCAATGTGGTCCGGCAGATGATTTTAAGTGTAAATTCACGAGTCATGGAAATTATAGCAGCGCTATACGCATTAATTATAATACACGAAGCAATTCACAGTTGGAAGAAGAAATTAGAATTTCACAGCAAGAGCACGAGTTAAAATCTCTCAGTTAAGCGATAAATATTTTAACAATTCTAATAACTTTTTTCTTAATATCTTAATAAAATGTTAAACAAACAATTTATCTTGGACACAGAAAACTAGCAGACCCGGTACCACCAGACTATTTCTTCACCGAACCTTCCGTAAAATTAATTGCAACCTCGGCACCAAAAATATCATTAACAACACCTCTGCCTGTTAAGCAAGGTATTCGTAAGAAATTAGATACTGTGTTTAAATAGTCGAAATTGTATATTTAGTTATATGCGCCAAATAAATTCTGATTTATTATTTTATTCGTTTAGCTTGTACCCGGAATCAATACGAGTGCCGTTCGTCTGGAGATTGTATAGCCGTATATAATGTCTGTGACGGGATCCCTCAATGTGCAGATGGTTCTGACGAAGCGGCAGATCTTGTATGCCCGACCGAAAAGCCACCAATTTCTCCGTCTATCGTTCAAGGACCTCAGCCGCCTCCGCCACCGTTACCAGATATCATAAAATACCAACAAATGACCGATCCTCATAAACCCCTCGGCCCATTGTATGCTCGTGTTCCGGAAGTCAATCCTTGGGAGTTGCCTAACTTACCTCACCAAGCGATCCCACAACCTCTATATCCTGCACAACAAATGGAAATACCCCAAATGCACAAGAGCTTTGCTGTACCGGGATACCCATGGGATTATCAGCCTATTTATGATCAGAACAAGGACGTTTATAATTCGTACCACGAGCAAAGCAATTTGAATCCTTATGAACGTAAGTTATGCACTTAGGAACCGTCATATGATGAACGGAATGTATAAACTAAAATTTTTATGCTCGTAGAAGATCAACCACACATCTTTAATCATAAGGGTTCGAGCGTAATCGGAGAAAAAGAGATGGATAGGTGAGGTATTTAATTATATCGAGTCTAATGACATTACATATACTATGAAGATATGTAATTGGATATTTACAATTTTTTAGCGGTGCGTATTTAGATGCGAAACATCCGTACAATTCACATTACGCGTTCTCCAATAGGGGATCATGGCAAGGTAATCAAGTTTATTCGTCTCCATCTCGGACATCGAACGTTCAACGGAAGCAAATAATAGAAACGGAAAAGAATATTATTAGTACAACAACACCAGCTTGTGACGTAAGTGTATTTTAAAACAGTCATCATTATTACGATACTAACAACAAATATTCTTTTCCAAGATATCACATGAACAGAAGGATGTGCCATCAAGAATCAAAGAAAATGAAGCCAAGAAGCAAGAGGAGAAGCACATAGTACAAGAGACAGAAGTTAGTCACAGTAATAAAGAAAACACATTAAAGAATGAAAGCCCAAAATATAGTCACACGCAAGCGAAGCAATCTAAAGGTATGTGGCGTTGAATATCATTGTTATCAATACTTATTGTGATTAATTTACTTAAGGATCTGTTTTTTATAGAACATAAGAGTGTGATTGTCATCAAAGACCATACTAGGGAACATGGGAGAAATACTTTAATCCCAGAACATCTAAAGCAACCAAACGAAAATCAAATTTTAAAACCGAGGGGTGCAGTTATATCATTGGCTTTAGGACTTATGATAACAGTTATTACAGCGACATTAATTGTTTGCCGATTACGTGTCGTTCGTAGGCGAGGTAGACGGCACGGACCATATGCTCACGATCCGGATTATTTAGTAAACGGAATGTATCTTTAAGTAAGTAGAAATATTCCGCAGTCAAGAAGTTTACATATGTATATTTTCATACTATTTTTAAATAACGTAACGCAGATTTAAGAAACACCTTAAGTCTGTAAACGTACTAAAATA